CCCCCCCGCGAGTTTCGCGGGTCTTCTTTCTTGTTTATATTTAAATCTTTGGGAGGCATAATATTTTACCCCCAAGTTGATAAGGATGTTATGGGTTGTAATCTACCATTCCACTCACCTAATGGTGGGGAGCCTGAGAAACACACTACCGTTAGCCAATTGCAGGGGCAGGATACAACTTTAAGTTCGTAGACAGCTTCATCACCTTTGGAAAAGAAACATCAGCACACAGCTGGCCTTTAGAACGTGGACCCACCAAGGTGAACTCAGCTCACGGTACCTGTTTGTTGAATCGTGATGGACTCAGTCAAGCTCCCGATCCTTCTTACCCATCAGGTGCTTCACAAACGGGTTGCTGCTGGTGGTGGGAAGTGCCGTCAGGTCGCCATCGAGAGCCAGTTTGGTGTAGTGGTCAAGTGCGCGGACTCTAATCTGGGAGAACCGGGTTTGATTCCCCACTCCTCCACTTGCACCTGCTGGATGACTTTGGGCAAGCCGTAGTTCTGACAAGAGTTGTCCTTGAAAAAAGAGCAGTTTCTGTCAAGAGCTCTCTCAGCCCCACCTACCTCACAGGGTGTCTGTTGTGGGGAGGGGAAGGGAAAGGAGTTTGTAAGCCGCTCTGAGACTCCAAGTGAAGGGCGGGGTATAAATCCAGTCTCTTCTTCTTCTTCTTCTACCTCACAGGGTGTCTGTTGTGGGGAGGGGAAGGGAAAGGAGTTTGTAAGCCGCTCTGAGACTCCTTTGGGTAGTGAGGGGTGGGGTATAAATCCAGTCTCTTCTTCTTTTTCTTCTACCTCACAGGGTGTCTGTTGTGGGGAGGGGAAGGGAAAGGAGTTTGTAAGCCGCTCTGAGACTCCTTTGGGTAGTGAAGGGCAGGGTATAAATCCAATCTCTTCTTCTCTTCTTCTCGAGGCAAGAGATGGACAGAGGCAGGTTTGCCATCGCCTGCCTCTGTGTAGCGACCCTGGGCTTATTTGGTGGTCTCCCATCCAATCACTAACCAGGGCCGACCCTGCTTAGCTTCTGAGATCTGAAAAGACTGGGCCATCCAGGTCGGGATTGGGGGACGGGGGGGGGGAAATGAGTTACTAGGCAAATGGTTAGCTGGCTGTGTCTGGTTTGGTGAATTGTAAGTTATGAGAATCCGAATGAATAGAAGAAGCACAAACTTGAAGTTGGACTGTATGTACATATTTGTCGGGTTGGCATCTGATGGGATTGACTTTCAACCCAGTTGTAAGTCAGCATTTTAGTGTATTTATTTATATACATCATTTATGGTCTGCCTTGATCATGGAGACTCAAGGTGGATCAGAGGACAGTGTTTAAAACAGGCAACACTGGTGGAGCTCCTGATGGCACCTGGTATTTTTGGCCACTGTGTGGCACAGAGTGTTGGACTGGATGGGCCATTGGTCTGATCCAACATTGACTTCTCTTACATTCTTATGTCTGAGGCAGTGATGCTCTTTCTTCTTGGTGCTTGGGAGGGCCACAGTGGGAGGGCCTCTGGAGTTCTGGCTCCATTGGTGGACCTCCTGATGGCACCTGGTATTTTTGGCTACTGTGTGACAGAGTGTTGGACTGGATGGACCATTGGTTTTATCCAACACTGGCTTTTCTTAGGTTCTTATGTCTGGGTCAGTGATGCAACAGTGGGAGGGCTTCTGGAGTTCTGGCTCCACTGGTGGGCCTCCTGATGGCACCTGGTATTTTTGGCCACTGTGTGGCACAGAGTGTTGGACTGGATGGGCTATTGGCCTGATCCAACATGGCTTCCCTTAGGTTCTTATGTCTGGGTCAGTGATGCTCTGTCTTCTTGGTGCTTGGGAGGGCCACTGTGGGAGGGCTTCTGGAGTTCTGGCTCCACTGGTGGGCCTCCTGATGGCACCTGGTATTTTTGGCCACTGTGTGGCACAGAGTGTTGGACTGGATGGGCTATTGGCCTGATCCAACATGGCTTCTCTTATGTTCTTATGTATGGGGCAGTGATGCTCTGTCTTCTTGGTGCTTGGGAGGGCCACTGTGGGAGGGCTTCTGGAGTTCTGGCTTCGCTGGTGGACCTCCTGATGGCACCTGGGTTTTGGCTACTGTGTGACACAGAGTGTTGGACTGGGATGGGCCATTGGCCTGATCCAACATGGCTTCTCTTATGTTCTTATGTATGGGGCAGTGATGCTCTGTCTTCTTGGTGCTTGGGAGGGCCACAGTGGGAGGGCCTCTGGAGTTCTGGCCTCGCTGGTGGATCTCCTGATGGCACCTGGGTTTTGGTTACTGTGTGACACAGAGTGTTGGACTGGATGGGCCATTGGCCTGATCCAACATGGCTTCTCTTATGTTATTATGTATGGGGCAGTGATGCTCTGTATTCTTGGTGCTTGGGGGGCAACAGTGGGAGGGCGTCTGGAGTTCTGGCTCCGCAGGTGGACCTCCTGATGGCACCTTGTGTTTTCGGCCACTGTGTGACACAGAGTGGTGGACTGGATGGGCCATTGGCCTGATACAATGTTGGCTTCAGTTATGTTCTTATGAACTATAAAAGGAAGGGCAACTCTTGCACTCCTATTGCAGCATGTGATTTCTTTTTTGCCTTCTTCAAAGACCGAACTGCCCATAGGCGTAATCTTCGTGGGGGCGGCGGGGCTTCAGCCCCCGCCGAAATTTTCAGGAAGGTATTCAGCCTCCCCCGGGAGCCACCCTTGCTCCTAGCAAAGCAATGCCTCTGGCCCAGCCCCAGCCCCCCCCCGGGAAATTGGAAAGTCTACACCCTTGGAACTGCCCGATACCACTGACTCGCCATTCTCCGTTTCTCGTGGCCCACAGGTTTAATTCCTGCTATGACTTAATCCTCTCCCGGTTTTGCGCCTGGGACTTCAAACCGTACGGGATAACAGGAGTGAAAGTTAACCGCGTCATCAGGGTACACAACCGGATTTTGAAGATGAAGTTCGAGGAGAAGCTCCAGAGGTTCTTGGAGGAAGAAGATTTAGGTGACTCCACGTAAGTCGGTGGATCTTAAGAATACCCAGAGAAGAATTTATATGGCATTAAGATGGATTTTGCCAGGACTTGTCCACATTTAGCAGAGTTTGAAACTGGGAGGGGCCGTGGCTCAGGGGTAAAACATCTGCTTGGCATGCAGAAAGTCCCAGGTTCAGTCCCTGACATCTCCAGTTAAAAGAATCAGGTTAGCAGGTGATGTGAAAGACCTCTGCCTGAGACCCTGGAGAGCCACTAATAGGAAACTTTCGATCGGACCTCGCTTACACATGTGTATTCACTGTATGTTAACGGTGAGTGTGACCTGCATTTGTTATGATTCATATGACATTTTATTGCATGATTGTGATTCTACAATAATATACATATCAATGCTCCCTCTAAGCTGTGGAGTCTTAAGAACATAAGAGACGCCAATGTTGGATCAGGCCAAAGGCCCATCCAGTCCAACACTCTGTATCACACAGTGGCCAGAAATACCAGGTGCCATCAGGAGGTCCAGCAGTGGGGCCAGGACATTAGACGCCCTCCCACTGTTGACCCCC